AGACACGTATCTAGCCACACGATATAGCTGTGTGTGACGGCGAGGCAGCGTGGGAACTCCTTCGGGGCACACGCAGCGGTGCTCAAACGCGCCGGAAATTCGCATGATTCCTTCGATTTGCCGTCCAAGTTCGCACGTTAATTTCGCGATTTTCCCCGCGTGGGGATTAATTAGGAGCGACGACGATGAAAGAAAATTCCCGCGATGCTTGTCGCAAAAATCGGTAAATTAACTCTCCGTGCGTGTCGCTTGAAAGAAATCGATATCGCTCGGCTGTTGCGCGATAAATATGACGAATAAATTTGTCTCGTTGAGGAATCGCGTGCAAAGGCTCGAATGATTCAATCTCCGCGGATAATTGCGTCCCGCTCAGCTTGTAAAAAGAGACTCGTCCATTGTAGTGGACTCCAAGTTGGGAAAGGGTTGCCTTGAATGAGAATAGTTTCGGGATCCTGAACGCCGGTGGTGGGGACGCGACGGGTCAATGTTTCGTGGAATGCGGGGAAATAATGGAGGTCAAGCTTCCTTCGATCGTGCCGCTGTCGTGATCGACGACGAGATGAGAGGTGGCGAAGAAGGTGGTAGTCGACCGCGTGTATATCCTCTCTCCACCTCTTCATCGCCGCCGCCTCGACCGCCGTACTTTATTTGGCGAGTTTTTGCCGGGTTTTACGAGCGGCTTAGCGGCGCTTTTTATAGCCGGCTCGCTTCACAATGCGCCATCACAGTGGGTTTTTACAGACGTCCTGCATCTCCCGGCGGTGTGTGTGGGTATTTTACATACGCGCCGTTATATAATGAGCCGCGTTAAGGCCTCCGACACACCGTCGTCAGGTGAATCCATTCCGTTTGTCTCCTTCTTTTACAAGCGAAAAGGGTAGTTTCTCTCGTAGTTTTCTCTCGTTGTGCTTGACATTTTCACAGTGTGTAGTGTCAATTAAACAGCAAGTCGCTTCGACACGCTCGAGAGATCGGTTCTCCGTAATTCGCGGCACGTCGTATTTATTTATGCTGCTACACATAGCGGCACGCGAGTGTGCGTGCGTGTGTATCACAGTCTTGTGCATAGATCTTTCTCACCTCTCCTCTCTCCCTGTATCTCCATTCAGATACTCACCATGAATGAACCGCAGACTCTTCGCTTTTTCCCACACTTTAACGCCACAATAGCCATCGTTCGAGATCTTTCTTACACCATCGTGAAATCGCCTTGTAAACTAAGCGACCTGGAATTATCACCGATATCACTTTTCGGGCTATAACAAGCGGATAGAAAATGGTGGAATAGTCATTCGGAGAAACGAAATGAGCGCGTTGTCGACGTTCACTTCCGCCGATTTTCTTACAAGATATATCAAGAGGACGATTATTAGCCGACCGCGAAACACGATTGGGAGGCGTGTTAAAGTCGCGTGTATGAACCGACATATATTGGCGATCGCTACGGATTGTCGGTTAACCACGCATATAATTACGGGAGCTTCTTGTCAAAAATGTTTGCGCATTCTCTCCTAACGTGCGATGAATGAAAAAAATTCATAATACAAAGTAATACGCTATTTCGTTAATAAAGTGAAACGGCTCAATCTGCGGTCAGATTACACACGCGGTCCGTGTAAAAGTTGCAATTTATTGCGAGATAATATTGGATTATTTATCGAACCTTTCCTCGCGTAGTATACCAGGCGAACGACCCTTCGCTCTATCGCGCGATAGACATGCCACAACGACACGCGTGTTTGCGCTTTAGCGGTGAGTGAGACCGGAAATTGGCAGTTTAAGATTGAGTGAGATTAGTCACCTTCTTTTGCTAGAGATACCTTTCTCGAGTAACATTTCGCCGTAAAATAAAACGTAAAATAAATTGAGATGACTATCTCTAGATTTTTAATCGCCAATATCCGGCTTCACTTTGCGGACAAAATGTTACAAATATATGTATGTACGTTTCCGTCAATATGGTGTGCAATTGGGTCGCGCACTCTACGGATCCTCCGCACACATTCACACACGCTCCGCTTTCCGGTCGCCACTCTTCTCCGACTGCATCCCAAACGTGAGATTCGTTGGCCTCGAAGTGAAACACCGGAAACTGTATTGCGTTTTCCTCGTTTTCTCTTGTTAATACCGTCGATATGCATTGAATGCAAATGTGAAATCGCGTTAGCCCGAATATGTTCGCGATTTTTGCTGATCGTTTCGTCCGAGGTAAAAGACTTCTCTTCATTGCCATAGGCACGGAATAATCGGCGAGTATCGTAATCGGGTTAACACTTTGAGTGTGTAACGAACTATCTATGAGAAGTAAAGAGATATTTTTCACGTTCCTTATAGATCGTTGCAAAACTCGCCGAGTGCTCCGCGAACCTGTTTCCTGCGCCGAGAAGAAAGTTTCCTTTCTGTCGCGATACGTGACTCGCATTGTCCGTGGCCTCTACGACGATATTCGAGGAACCGAAGGGGGTCGGCCGGATGAGATCGAGACAGTTTTAAAGGGCTGCCTGCATCCGAGTCGGGAATTAATTTCGCTGCGTCGCCCATCGACTTCTCCCAACCTCTTTCTCTCTCTCTCTCTCTCTAAGTCCACCAAGCTCAACAACCGAATGTCACACACGAGATTTTTCACCGATGACGAATACTTTAGTTTCGTGTTGGAGGGCTATTATTTCGAGAATACATCGAATAATCAGTGTTAAAGAGCTGTAAATTGTTGCGATACTTTTATTTGCGAATGTTCTGATCAACGTCAAGAATGACAATTTTGAGCGCAACGTTTAAAAATGATATCCGACGTATAATATACTCGGCCAGCTCATCATTAATACCGCCATTATCGAGCAAGGCGTATAACCGAATAACTGATAAAACGTTTGCGTCATAGCGCCACCTGCGCCAGCCACGCACGTTACGTAAATATGTGTAATCATCGAGAAGTAACATTGTTCGGTGACGCGAAATGTAATTAGGATGTAAACGCGGCCTACCGTGGAACAAAGATGGCCGAAAAAATCTTTAGATCGACAGTAGTGTAACATACGGTTACGGTTTGAGAAACGAACAAGTGTATATAGAGACTTGGAAGCTTCGGTGGAGTAATTATTTGAATGTAACGCAAGAGACAGGTTCGCGAGTGGAATATCTCGGAACGAGCGGGTACTTCCGTATTACACTCGCGCAAGAAACGCGCGCATTTATTGCAAAATTAAAACCGCCAATATCGCGGGCGAGAGGGAAAGAAAAGAAAAACCACAGAGAGAGAGAGAGAGAAAAAGAGATTTTTCGAACGACTTGTTCGCGATTTCGTAATCTCTCGCTTCGTCGTATCAGTGTCCTCTCCTCTCCCAACCCGGCGGTCTCATCCTTCTCTCGTTTCCCGACTGAATGGAGGCGTCAGAATTCTTATCGACCTCCCCGCTATTACGTCATACGCGCAAAGCCGCAAATCTGTTGTCCGCTTCGCTATAATTATACCGTCGGTGCTATATAATTGCGTCACATGCCATATAGTACGCTCTCCAAGTTGTCGGGACTGCATAATCTTTTCAAAGTCGTTATTTCACCGCGATCAATTCGCCGTTTCTGCGATAAGTCGCGGATAACGCCTGATCAAACGCAGTTTTGCCGCGCGAGCAATTCACCTCTGATATAATTACATATTCCGAGGCGGAGGATCTTTCTTCGCGCTTTTTGCACGACCGTAAGATAGCACAATACGATCTTGATGTCCATTCTCTTTCTCCCTCCCGCGGTCAACAGTTTTTCAGCCGCGCGTTATCGCGTTAACGTCGGCGCTTATCGCTCGCTTGTATGTCGAGTCTCTTTAAACGCATGCACCGAGCGCGTGTTCTCCATTCGCGCGCACCAGCCGAGCTTCATTCACGTGCGCCGGACCGGATGTCGCTCGACCCAACAATTCGTTTTCGAAGGTCACGCGGGGTTACATTCGTTTGACGCAACGTATCGGATAGTTGCGAACGCTAATAATGCCAGGTTTGTGTCGGAAAGAGTAATCATTACGCTTTATCTCTTCGCGTCATCTGGCAAAGGAATCTTGGCGATCGAAGAAAAAGCGCACGAATAGCGCGGCGACTAACGGGCGTCTCGATACTTGGTTATTCGGCTGTAAAACCAATGAAATCAATTCACCGATGAACAGCTTTCTCTCTCCGTCCGGTTAAATTCCCGAGATCAATTATCTTTTCAGCGCACTCGTCGTCTCTAAGGTGAAATTCCGTTACGCGGGTCGCGCGGAGTACATTCTATCGTGCGTGTCCGCCCACTCACTACCGCCACACACGTTGTGTCGCCGCAAGCTTCGTACACACCCGCGCCAATATTTCGCGACGTATTCTCGATTGATCGTCGATTGATACTCGCGTCGGGTTAGGTCTTCTTTCTCTCGTCTACGTTTGATTTCGAAGGAGACTCGCACGATAATGTCGTATGAAGGAACGACTGCGCAACGCATAGTAATGCTCGTAAGTGAAGGTTGTGATGCTACGACACGGAATACATTATTCCGTTGCATCCTTCGACAGCGGCACTGAAAATAGTATTAAACGAAACTCTTTCCGTTCGATCGTTACATTGCGTGCTTTTCTGCGAAAAAATGTCGATCGCCTGTTTGTGTCGAGAAAGAACGACGGAGAGCAGTAATGAATGGATTAAACAGCGTGACGTCACAGGATGGATTATATAAACGGTGGCGCGCGCGTGACACATCGGACGTAGGAAGGAAGTTCGCTTCCTTTCGTACCTACAAGGTATTCCGTTCGTGCGTGCGTATGTATACATGCGCGGACCGTTGCCGAGGGGTCGTTCATTTGCGAAAGCGGACGAGCTCGGTTAGAATCCTAATGACGACAGTGCCGCCCCTTTTCAGCTCCTGCGCTCGATACGGTACTGAGCCGCCGTCGAATACTGTAGCGCGGCGCGAAATTATCGTTCACCGATCGCGATAATTTGCACGTTCTAATTGTTGCTCTCGCGTTTGCTTTCAGACGGTGCGCGCGGTGCGTGTCCCAACGCGGCTTCACGAACGAGACGGTGAGTCCTCTTCGTTCGCTCTCTGTTATAAATATACAACATCCCGGAATAATACCCGTTAACCATATATACGCTGATAAATTGCTACCGATAATATAATCTCACGAGCGACACGCACACACATATTTTTCGGACGAAATTCTCCCTCTTTCTTCTTCTGCTCTCTCGCTAGATTCTGCTTATTAGCGCGTCGTAGTCTGGGAGCCGTCTGCGGGTCGACGTCCGGCGTCCCGGAATAGAAGCGCCGCGATGCTCGTTACATTCTGTCACCTACGAGAGCGTCGCTCCGATCGCGAAAAGATTTCATTATGTTGAATGTCTCTCGGTTGCATCATCTCTGTTTCTTTTTTTTTTTTTTTGCCCCGGTCAGCCGGTAATACGTCACGATGATCGAGACCGGTTAACAGTCATCCTCCTCGAAGGGCAGGTGCGTAGTAGATCCGCTTTGTACGAAAAGGGCAGCTGCTTGTTCCTAGACACAAGGAGGCGACGGGGAGGGAGGAAGAAGAAGGGCGAGAAAGAGAGGTTGCTCGCTGCTAAGGTAAACGATATAATGGGGACGTAACAGTGGGTCCTTTTCAGTGGCAGATGTCCCGACACGTGCCCGCGTCCCCCTTTTTTCGGGACTCGCGGCCCCCTATCGAGGAGGAACGAGAGCGGAAAACCCCCGAAAAAAAAAAAGGAGAGTCGTCCCCGTTTGGCCGTAGTGTCGCTTCCTTCTCTTCTACGCTCCTCTTTCCTTCCTTCCTTTCCGTCGGTGCGCCTTTTTTTTCCTTCGGCCAGCCTCGGCACCAGCTGCTCTCATTATAAAGCGGATTTTGCGAGTCCGTTGCATTGTATTTGCGCGATGTGCACGGGTTTCTTTTCGAGCCAATACGTTCATTTTCCACGAATATCTTAACCTGTCGGCAGTCGTATCTTTTCTCGTTTATCGCTTTGAATGAAATTTCAAGCCGCGTCGTCGTCTGAGAGCCGCTGCGCGCCGTGCGACTTTTTCAGTCGCTTTGGTCCCACGCCGGGACGGCGTATATACCACGCACGCACGGCTGATGCACATACGCCTACAGCTCTGTTTTACACACACCGCGCGTACATTACATCGAGTAAAAGGTTGAGAACCCCTACGGTTACTTCGATTCGACTTCCTTCGACCCGAATGCAGTGACCCGTGCTAACGATCGCGAATGGCAACGATCGGGGTGCTGCGCCGAGTGAGAAGTCGAACGCGAAAATTCCGTCATATCTGAGATGAGCAATTTCTTTTTTTCGCTCGGAAAAATTTCGCCACTGAATGTGAGTAATCGCGGAGAAAAATAATATGTTGGTTGGAGGACGATCGAAGGAATGACACGACGTATCTTTGGAAAAGAGCGATATCTTCGTCATGGGGAATCCGGTGATTCGATCCGATTAATTCAATCTAACGTTTACTCTCGACGTAGATAATTGTGAAAAAAGCGCGACGGTCGCGATAACGTATTGTATTCGCGACAGAAACGCAAAGCACGCGAGCCGAATCTAATCCATTATGGAGCGACCGTCGTTTAAAAGCTGCATAGACTGACAGTGTAGTATCGATATCGGTGTACGAAGATGAGCGGTCTCTCCATTATTCATGCGGATTATCGATAAATTATAATGGTAGACATCGCGATAGTGTGCGTCTCTCGGAATTCTCCGTCGTTCGATTTCTAGACATTGGTCGACGTTCCCGCCGGACGAATAATTCGATCTTACGAGGCAATAAGGTACACGCGTTCGATAACTATTGCCCCATCGGTCTCCGACGCTGATAAGAGGCTGGATGGGTGTAAACGTGCATGACAGATAGATTTCATTTTCCGAGTGTATATGTTGCTCATCCAACTTTGTGGCCGTCACGCAGTGACGAAACGTTACTTTGTCTCGCAGAAATTTTTGTTTGCCCCCGAAAAATATCTGCGGGTAGTTGCCAAAAGGTTATTATTCGCCAAAATACCGCGTGACACATCTCAGATTAGCGGAACCGCGGCGCTCTTTTACCGTTACGAAACGTCACGAAAATGCTTTTCAATGCTTTCGGCCGCTAAGATTATCCACGAGAGACAACAAAATCATCCCGTACCTCAAAACTGAGAATTTGTTTCACGCTCAACGATATAAATAGCGACACACCCGGGGAGGTTCTCGTTTAGACTAAAATTCTTTTCCAAATAAAATATCGCGATAATTACGTTAGTGCGTTATTTTGTGCGCGAAAGTCCTCAACGCTTAAAAACGTTCGTCGACTGTATGCGACTTTGGTAGCGTCCTCATTTATTGACATCCTAGCATGACTAACTCCGCGTGACATACATTAAATCCTCGCGAATCAAATCCGCCAAATCGTTAACATCGTAGCGTTGATTCGCGATCGTCTCGAGTGCAGCGTTGACACGCGAATAATATAAAAACTGCCATACGGTTAGTTTCGAAAAAGGTGACAGAACTTTTCTCGCTATTCGTCTTGCGCAGAAATAGCGAAATCAGGCGAATGAAAGCGCATAGGAATGCACTAGGCGTTCAAAGCCGCGAACGTTTAAATGTCCGAAAAAGCGCGACGAGTAGCGCGGACGCTTCTCTCGGCAGCCGCCTCTCCCACGGCAGGGCCGCACGTCGAGCGCATTCCGCTCGCGGGCCCTACCGACCGTCCTTATCGCTCACTTATGACATTGCGCTACCTTTATATACCGACGAATCAACATCTCTCGCCTTTGTCGCGTGTCGATTATACAGGAGGTGACCAATAGGAATGAAAGTAAACGGTTACGTATCCCCTCCTCGGTTTCGGCAGCTATTTAACTGACTAGGGTCCGCTACCTGAGACCCGTCAATTTCATTTGAACCGTCGTACAGACCGGTTTGCGAGTGTCAGGATGGACGCATCGAAGAAAAAGTGTTGATCATCGAATACAGCATAAACTATATATCGTCTATTTCGTAGTAAATATGGATGTAAAAGAGCTTCGAACATATTCGATACATAAAGCGACAGTTGAATAGTCAAAATTTGCGCGTTTTATTCATTTTCTTCGGCCTAGTTCGTTGCGAAGTAATAACCATTTACTTTCCCATCCTATATATGCGCGACCTTTCTTAAAAGAAGACAGGGCGGTTTTTACCTTGGAATCTATCTATTTGTATATCATAGTAGTTGCGTTATACAAATTGAACCGTAGTAATTGAGGGTTAATCGGAAGCGTCGATAGTAAAACGAAGAGAACGAATGGTAACAAGATCGTGCATGGGTTGGTTCATTCGACAGGAGCGGTGGTGGTAATAGTAGCCGCGTAGTAGTAGTTCAACGCATGGTGGTGTAGTAGTAGGTGGCGAAGCCGGTAGACGAGAGGTAGAACACGGTGGTGAGCAACGTCGCGGTTGGTGGTGGATGAGAGGTGGTAGAAGAGAAGAAGGGAAGGAAGGGAGGAGGCGAGCCGAGGACTGGACTCGTACCTGCATTCCATTCCCACTGGCCGTGTAGATCCTTGTATAGGTGGTCGTCCTCCTTCCCTTCCTCCATCTCGTCGTCCTTCTTCTCTGCTCTTCTCTCTTTCCACAGAGAAAGAGAGAGAGAGAGAGTCCTCTTTGATCGGCTGCCTCCCTCATTTCCTCCTCTTTCTTCTTCTTTCTCTCTTCCTTCTTCGCCTGCTCAATGTCAATCGAGCTCCCTCGCTTCGCAAATTCGTCCGTCCGCGAGTCATCTTCATTTTATCGGGGGACTTACGCGAGTGAGTAGTTTTCCGCGATTGTCGGAGAATCGGCCGATAGATGGTTGGCAGACCCTTGCAAATACACGAAGAAAAGAAAGCTCCAAAGTTCTGTCGAAAGCTGCAGCAAATGAGTTTCGAACGATTACGATATAAAGTCGCGTTATTTTCACGAGCTGAAACTACTTGTGTCGAAAGGGGCGGCGAATAAGTTGTTAAATAAATTCGATTGATGTCTTCAGGAACGATTTCTCTTTCCATATACCTGAACACGTCAAGAATTGTAAAAGACGTTATATCTTTGCTACGCTGAAGGAATGATTTCCGTCATCGTAACCTTGATTAATGGTCCGAAATTGTGAGAAGATCGGTAATTCCTACGAAAGGCCTGCCTCAGAGCCCCTCGGAGATGAGAAGAACAAGATCCTACTCGGATAAGCGAGCGATATTCTAGCTGGAATTTTAATCCAAAGATTATTCGTGACATCTCGCTTTGGATCACATATTATCGTATGCATACGTCGCTGCAAAGGCTAAACGAGATTTAATCCGCAAAGACGGAGAGAGCACGTCGCGGAAAAATAGCGACGAATCGACGTGGGAGCGGATCGCCGGACAAATATAAACTCGTCGAGTTATTCCGGAGCCTGCGATCCTCTTAATTAGAACAATTAGCCGCTCCGAGAATAGAGAGATGACGTCCTGACTGCTCGATAAGCAACACATTGTCTCCTCGCGGGAACGAGTGTAGGAAAATCGCGAAATTTCACAATAGATGTGCCCTCACCAAGGTTACATCAAATTAAATCGTGGATAGTAAAAGACAAGAAGGGAGATGAACAGGTGAATCGCGTCGGGCTAGATCGTAGCGAGGCAAAGTATAGCGGAGCAACGCGGAAAGTTCGGCAGCCTCTCTCCACGTGTCGCAACGTGACAGTGCGTAACGAAGCTCCGTACGTATCGGGACCAAACGTCGAATTCATTGTGTCGTAAGAGTCGTTTGAAAGGCTGTCAGTTACTATGTATCGTTTGTCGAAAATCAAATAAAGAACGCGCTCGCCGAGTGAAAACAGCTCGAGCGACGTGATCGCAACGGAAGATTAATTACTCGCAGATTAACCGAGTTTCGTACGGCGGATAATTTTAGGGCGCGCGTTGTCTTCTCTCTCGCACCGCGTCTCTATCGATCGTCAGTTAGTTTTGAGCGAATTACGTCAATCGAGGAGGAGGCTCACACCATTCCTCAATAATTGAATGAATTATGAAAAGGAGAGATACTTCCGTATCGTTATTTATCGCCATGTTGCTCGATCGCCCTTTGACAGTTTGCCGACATCCTTCCAGTTTTTTGCATATCCGACGCATAGAATGTATTTTTCATTCGACGTGTTTTTCACACGTCCGAGAAAATCGGGGGAGAGAGAGAAATTCAACCCGATTATTCAGCGGCTCGATCCAGAAGTAGCCTTGCCAGGGTGATCGTATAGAAACCATCTGCTCTTCCTTCCACGTCTCTCATCCTCTTCCTTCCGCGGTGGTCATTCGCGATACGCGCGTTTAATCGGCATTCACGATCGTGACTCGGCGATGACATCAACGCGCCGCTGCTTTTTTTCAATGCGGTTTTGTAACGCGTTAATGTTTCTTTAATCGCTCGTTACCCGCGCATGCTCGCCGCGCGAGATGTTCTCCGAGCCGTATTGGATACCCGGCGCTTCCATTGTATGCAAATCGGGACGTGTCATTCGCGAGACCGGAACGCTCAAATATCGACCTCCGCTTCGGCCGCTGGTCTTTTCGAATTAATTCCGACGTTTCTCGCGAGCAAATATATAATGTCGATGGTAAATTCGTCAAAAACACGAGTCTGGGGATGGTATCTAACAACGTCGCTTCACCGCTTGTGGTGTTATCCAAGCGAAAATTTCATAAAGTACTATGCGCAATCTAGAAAAAGTCTACGAATCTCTAACCCAGATATCGGCGGCAGCTGTGTAAACGATCTATCGTGTAGCAGAAGACGCGTAATAACACGAACGGATCTCTAACGAGGTCCCGATATCTTTTTCTTTCCTCTCCTTTTTTCGACCACCATATCGATCCGCGCACGCAACGCGATGTGTCACGCACGTACACGCCCGAGTGCGTACGTGCGTGCGTGCATGCGTGCGCGAGATTCTCCGGAGGGGTCTGTCACGCGTACAAATAGCTGACCTCGCTTCGTCGCCTCTATCAATGGCTCGCCGCTGGACTGAATGACTTTACGCCTCTTCCGCTTACTACGCCCTTTCGCGACGCAGCGCCGCCGCGATCGAAACCGGTATAAATTTTCGTGAGCTCAGTTCTCTCGATGACGTGGACATGGAATCTTATGTTAATCATTGTCGCGTTCGATAAAGGTCACTCCCTCGGGGAGAATCTCGCCAACTACTAACTTCGCCGGTTTACTTTCGCGAGGAAAAGAAGAGGTGCAGTTTTTAAATAATAGATATTTGCGCTAAGAGATTATCTGGTAAAGCAATTTTTTTCCAAACGCTCGAGTACGCTTGATGTATCGCCTCGTGAATATATCGAGATGGAATTTCGAAAGAGTGCGAAATCTTTTTTTTTCTCACGTTACGAACGCGCTCACGAGCTTTTTGCGTAATAACTTCTTTGTCCCGCGCGAGAGTTCCGCAATAAGATATAATAGTCTAGTTTCTCCATGGATAATGCAGAGAACTGTCGCGCGGTGGATGGACATGTAGGTCTCGTGTTACGTACGGTTGGTAACTCGCTCCACCGTCGGTACATTGGGGGCCTTCGGATAATGTTAACGTCCACTGAACATCAGTTACCAACAGTTGGTGCAACTTCTGTGTATATAATTTTTTTTTTTTATTCCCAAACAACTCTGAGAGATCAATTTTAGTCTGTTATATTAATTAATCGTTAATGCATTTATTATTCATTCCATATTTCTTATTGTTCTCGGTGAAAGAGTTTACCGCTGTACACAAACATCTCTGACATCTCAAGAAATCCATCTTCCGATGGTGACATTTGATTTGCGATACAATCATTATTGTACATCGAGGACGCTATTTCATTCGAGATGAAAAGGATGCGAAAAGGCAGGTTTTATCGCGAGCGCAAAGATTTACTCGATCGAGTAATTTAAATCGCGGTATCGACGGTATTCACGGAAGAATTATCCGGAACGATCCTTTGCGTACGCGATTATCGGACAACGATTCGCGATAACGTAATGACCATCCAGCGACTTTGCATTACGATATATTCCGGCGATCTTCTCGTTAAGTTTTACGACGGCCGTCGGATAACTACGTCGATCTGACCGCGTTAATTAGATAAAAGCGGCGCGCCGATTCTCGGAAGGGCTTGACGCGTAATCAGCAAACGAACCGGTGCGTGCCATTACGATATCGTCCTCTTCTCTTCTTAATCAGCGACCGCATGCTATCCCTGAAACACGGAACAGTGAGTAGATACCGAAATTTCACGAGACGGCAGGAATGATAAGAAAATCGTTGTAAAAGCGTTACGTCACAATTTCAAATCATACCTCTCCGTATATTAGTGAGAAAGGAAAAAAGAAGAAAATCAAATTAATGTGAAAACCGCGGGCAAAAGCGTGATTTAATCCTGCATAATACTTGGGTGAAAGGAAATCAAGACCGAATCCTCATGCGCTGCTTCTCCTCCTCTCTCGATCTTCCATGGAATATGGCCATCGGGTCGCGAGGTCGCGTCGTATCTCTATCAGGGCTCCGTGTAACCGGCGCGCCCCGTTATCGGCCGACCGATAACGCACGTGCAAAATAACGTATATATATCGATGGACCCTTATGACGGACGCTCATGACGGAGTCGTGTGAAAAGCGTAAAATCCGCGCTTATCCACGCTCGCTCTTTGTATTCGCTATCTCAGGGGTTTCAGCAGCTTTCGCTCGAATCATTTAATCCGCGTAATTCACGGATAATTGTCTGTCAAAGTCTATGACGAATCGAATAGCGCATGGGAATCGTTTAAATTGAGAATTGGTACTCTCCTTGGTTAGACGCCACGTTACGAACGTAAGACAAGCGACGAACAATTACACGCAATATCGTAGCACAGGTGTCGCCATTCGAAAGGACTCAACGGACGCAATTAACGGACGCGCGATAACGCGCGTTTTATGTAAGAGACGTTTATTCATCCGCGTCGAACGTCGGTTTTCGAATCGCTTTGTAACATTCCCCGCTGGTACGATGAAAACCTCCCAAGTAGATCTGTCGATTAAGGATCGATGAGGGTTTAAATATCACCGATCATCGTTCCCCGCATTCCTCGAGGTCATCGTGTTCGGACCGTGTGGTGTCTGACCTGTTCGGCGACGATCTCAACGCCGCGATGTGTTCTCAAAGTAAACATTATCGTACTTTTGAAAGAGAGTAGCAATGCCTTCTTACCGATAATGCGTCAATATCGATTTTTCCTCGTAAATATTAACAAGTACAGTCTGTCTCATATCATTACTTTTTTTTAATCTTCGCAATTTTTAATATCGCGATCTATTATATTAGCGCATGTCGCAGTGTTAAGGATCTGACAATTATTTATGAGGAAGCAAGCCGCTCGAATGCACCTCTCTCTCTCTCTCGTGACAAATGCATCGTTCTATCCTTCTTCCCCGAGAAAAGGCCGAGTCATAAAGAGACACGGGGAAGAACGGCGTTCACGAAGGGTGACCGATTCTCGAAATTACGAATTTCGACGTCTGGCACACGTCTCCCTGTTATTTTAGGACCTTCACAGAAATTCGGAGCCCGCTCTCTCTCTCTCTCTCTTGCTCGCATCGGCCATTCGTCGCTTTAAAAACCCGCACAAGTGACCGACCGAGAAAGAGAGAGCAGCTCCTTTTTTTCTTCTCCCTCCCTTCTTTTTTCTTCGTTTCCTTGCCCCTCTGAAAAAAATTCGTCTAGACTAATTTGTTCACTTTTGTTTCCAGATTCATCGGCCACGATGAAGAATCCAAGAGCCCGAAATGTATTTTTTCAAATATATATGTTTATGGCAAATATACATGTTTTTACACAAATTCGACATTTTTATCATAATTGGATATGTGCTTTTACAATTAATGAACCTAATAATTGTAGAATACAGCGTGATATTAGGCGATGCTATCGATGAGACCGCAGCCATCGCCGGTAATTAAGACGAAACTGGTTTTCACAATGATTTGACAGATAGATATGATTCTGAGATCATTGTGAAAGCTGATTTTGTTCGGACGTCAACGAGTCGTGGTGTTAACCCCGATGAATGAAGAGGAAAACAACGAACAGTAAGTTTCGCGAATAGCAAAATAGCAAACAGAATCTATATATTTAGAGCTTATTGATAGATAAATATGAAGAAGAAAAAGAAAAGGACGGATGGGGAGTCGAGGATAATTCACGGTGATCGAACTTCCCGGTGAGATCGTTTCCACATAATTAATACCGATCGTCGGACTCTTTTCACCGTTTCTTGTTGACCGCGTTTCGATGTAATTGTTGACAGATAAATAAATAGGCCGCATAAAGGAGCCTCTGTCTCCTCCTTCTCGGTGTAGCACGCGCTCCGAGTCGCGCGTTCCCCCTTAAATTTAGATTCATTCTCAAACATAAAAGTAAGAGATATTAGACGGAAAGAGATCGTACGATTGAGGCAAAAAATGAAAGAAATGAGAAAGATTGTAATCATACGTAATCGCGGTTTGAACTGCTCGTTTCGATCGCGCGAATGGAAACTTGGACGGGTGAAAATAAGGTTTTCCCTCGCGAGGAAAAGAACGTTTTAAAGGGGTGCAGTTAAATATCTGGAGCGTGAACGTGAGAGAGAGAGAGAGAGAGAGAGTGGCGGAGAAAGAGCGATGCGTGTTTTTGTCAGAATTTCCGGTAGTGATTTATCAAACGGGAAAGATCGTATCTGACGGACGGACGGCGGCAAGAAACGACTTCTCGAAGCCATGAGAAGAAGCAGAAGAAGAGAGGAAGGAGAAAAGGCCTCGCAAGGCCCGGCGCGTACTCGCGCGCGACCACGTGTCCACGCGTCTCGTTCTACATGTTTCACGGTATGTGTTGTACGCGCGCGCGTAGGGAGGATATAAAATACGCGGGGATTCCGTCTAATACAGGCGGCGCGGCCTGGGGCGCGCGCGCTATCGAGTGTCAAACGGACCGAACGCGAGAAAAAGCCGGAGCTTTTTGACGGAAAGCAGCCGGACGGGAAATCTTAGACGTGTACGACGATGGCGCGTACACGATGAGGAGAGATCGGAGGGCCGCGCTCGAGGATACACACCGGCACTTTGGGAACCCTTCCCCCTCGTCGTCAAGCAGGCGTGTAGCGTGACAGCTCGAGGAAACGCCGGAGTGTCCTCGAAGCTGAAGAACCTGTCCTTACGCCGGCTCCTCGAGCCGGACAAATTCGGCTTCTCCGAACGCGCTCCCTCGAGCATCCCTCGCGCCCTTCTTTCACGGCTGTCTAGTGGATAACTTTTGTATTCACCCGTGATGAGCCGCGCGCGCGACAGAGAGAGAGAGAGAGCGTCAAGCGCCGTGGCAGCGACGTTTCATTATTTTATTTGTCCTTTTTACCCATGAGATGGAGAGCCTGGAGAGAGTGGAATGTATGTGGAACATGTCGCGGGGGGATCGTCCGCTGCGACACAAGGGAGGTTCGAATAAAACAGTTTGATAATGCGATACTTTGGATAAAAGTACCAACGTGGCGTCATCTGATGATCGTTTATCCACAGCGGTCTCGTAAAAATCACCTGGCAAATTGGAGACCAGAATGATATACGGCGTGCCCCTTGTGTTTCCGCCCGGCGAGTTCGGCGGCACAGAGGAGACTCGTTGGTGGCCGCGAAATACGTTGGTCGCGCGTTAATAACCCGCTCCGGTTCGGCCGAAATTTATAGTCCTACCAACGTTTTGACAAGCACGCGAGAAAATTTATCGGCGTGAAGCGGGAAAGGGCGAGCAGAGGAAAGGAGGAAGGTGGGCGAGGTGGTGGCACTTTTTCGTTGGCTGGCGACGATGTTTTGAGCTATTAGACGAAACAAGGCCTCGCCGTTTTACGACCAACCCGAAGCGTGCCACGATCCGTCGTCGTAAAGCCACGAGGAATATTCCTCGATTTGCCATACTCGAGACGCTTTCCAAAAACCTTTCGAATCGAATTTCCCTTCTTGTCGTCCTATCGAAAATCTCATATTGTCACGACGACGTTTACGAGCGTTCGCGTCATCGTTGTCATCGTCGTCGTCGTCGCGGAGAATTTCGAGGGACGTCGTAAAAACGTCCCGCGCGCAACACGATTTTCTCGAAAACTCGTAAATCCTCGTGCGGGACCGCAACCACTTGTGGCTCGCACGCATGGTCGTTGCGGCCGAGAAACGTCACTCTTGACAGCCGTGGCGCGAGCGAGCAGGCGTCAATAAAATCCGTGCTTTCCTAAACTCTCATTTTTCCCGCTTTGTATCGGGAAAATGCTCCGAGATACTTCAGAGTGATAATAGGGGGACCATTCAAGAGAGGAAAATATATTCATCCGTCGTCTCATTTTACATGTGGTAAATCACACGTACGCGATATAATGTATCGGTTACTGCGAGACTTTATAACGATTTCGACGAAGATGTGACTCGAGTCGACGCAGGTCTGCAAAGGTTTAATGAATCGCGTCGCGCGTAATCGAGAGCTCATTCTCATACTGGTACGCTTTTTGCTGCTCGCGGCCGACCAGTCAGCCATCGCTGACCAGTGAGCGGTGCACGTGCATAATGCACGGCACACGCACGCACCGTCCCTCTCTGCCCCTCTCTCGCCAAGCTCGCGGATGTGCGCACCATCGCACATGCGATTCGCTCAAGTTGGCGGACAGTGAGGTCCGGCCGATCCTCTCTCTCTCTCTCGCCCGACCGTCGTCATCTCGGACCCAAGCTTTTATCGGACCCGAATCGCCGCTGACCGGCCACATGTGTACCGAGCAAAAAGTCCCGCCTCGAGGCTACGCTCTCGCCTTCGTACTCCCTCGCGAGGATCCAAGGCGGGTGGCCGAGCCGAAGAAATTTATGGCGATTCTCATAGTCATAGATATGGAATTCGCGAACGAACGCGGAAGAGACGCACGCAAACATTTACTCTGACTTTTCCACGAATGGCACTTCTTATTGTACAGGATACTTATTATTCAACATCTTTCTGCTTCTGCGCGTACAAGTGATGAAATAGCGAGTGATTTGAAGTAATGCAAAATCACTCGTACGCACAGATTCGTCGCGAGACGCAGGATACGCATACAGAGAAGTCCAGGTCGTGTATAAATATTTCAGCAAATAAGTAGATCGGGGGGG